CTTCATGATCTAATCCCCTCCCAAAGACCCCTCCTCCTAACGCCATTGCCTTGGACGTTGGGTTCAACACACACATTTTGTGGGGGATACAAATATTCAGTCTACGGCAACCTGTCTACTTTTATCCCCCTTTTGGAATTCAGATGTAAATTACAGAGAAGAGAAGGGCATGAAAACGACAGGAGAAAATTAATGCGGTGGGTTGAGGTGAGCACACAGTGAAATCCCAGCCCATCTGACAACACTCCGTGCAAGAGGCACTGTAACAGCATCATGCCATTTGCTCCTCAACAACCCTGTGATCCAGCTGGGGAACTATCCTTAGCCCCATTTTACAGATGAGACATTCACCTCAGAAGAGAGTAAATGACTTGCTCAAGCCGAGCTATGGCAAAGTCCAGATGTTTTCCCATAAGTTCAAGTCCAGGACTCTTTCTCATCTCATTCTTAGCCTCCTAAGCGCTGCCTTGTGAGTCTTCAGCCATAAGCTTCGTGTCATGCCTATGAAATAATTGTTCTAATAACTGAGAATCAGCACAATTTGCATTTTCAACCCCAAAGGCCTGAAACTCAGAGAGGTGAGGAGCTACACCTTAAAAACAAAACTGAGCCCTTCCAGGGCGCCTGGGTGGCTCATTCGGTTAAGTGGCTGCCTTCAGCTCAGGTCATGATCCCACGGCATACGGGTTCGAGCTGCACGTGGGGCTCTGTGCTGTCTGCACAGACCCCTCTTCAAATCCTCTGTCCCTCTGTCTCTGCTCCTCTCCTGCTCTCTCTCTCTCTCTCTCTCTCTCTTTCTCTCTCTCAAAATAAATAAGTAAAAATTTATAACATACAAAAGTGAGTCCTTCCAACAACAGGACAGGACGTTATCCCATTCATTAATCTCAACAGCTGTAAGTGCATAGTTATGAGTTTTATTACAGAATAGCTTCAGGGAGAGAGAGCGTCCCAATGAGAAACCAGTAGTGTCATCACGACGGTGATGCATGCGGTGCAAGTCGGTGTGACCGACCGACCGACTTTAATCGACACGCAGCCGTGCCAAGAAGGTGCTTCGTGTTTTCCTTACTGGTACATACTAAGTCAGGGTGAAGGGGTGGGATCCCCGTGCCTGTCATCTGCACAGAACCCACCGAGATCAGAGGCTGCATTTAGCACCGGTGTGGCTGTCAGCTACGAAGACGGACGCATCCACAGCCCACTCCCCCTCACCTTGGCCTGGGCCACTGAGGTCACTTCAGCCCTCGGGGAGGGGGCTGGCGGGAGGCAGGCAGCAGTGCCTGTCAGCATCGCCTCTAAGAGGCCAGGTGAAGCAAAATACAAGACTGCGGAAAGTGAGACGTATCTTGACTACGAGCAGACAGCTTTTCTGTTTCTCAGTCTTGAAAACGTCAGTGTCACGGCCAGTACTCGGCCGAGATCTAGGGGCTCTTGAGCACGGTCTCTGGAGCAGATTGCCTGCATTTGCATCTAGGCTCTGCTAACCTAGGGTTTGTGTGGACTTCAGAATGCTATTTAACCCTTCGGCCCCTCAGTCTTATCATCTGTGATTTTTATATACGAGTAATAAGTAATAACACCTGCTGTGAAGGCTTATCGTCAGGATTAAATGAACTGATTGATGCGTGTGAAGTGCTCCGAAGGGAATCCAGCTGAGAGTTAAGCATGACATCGATGTTTCCCATTCCTGTCTGTAGTATCTTGCACCTCGGGACTGGGCTGAGCCACTTAGAGGCACCCACGAAAGTCTCTCGCAGCTCCAGGCTTCCCAGGTTCTGTGTCCAGCCAGACACTCGAGTGCGAGTGTGGTCCAAGTGCAAGTGAAGTGAAGCAGCTTCACTAGGGAACTTGTTACAAGTACAAATTCTCTGGTGTTTCCCCAAGGCTTCTTCAATCAGCACCTCAGGGCGGGCCCAGGATTCCGATTTGACGTGCTCTCCGGGTGATTTTTAAAGTTGGAGAAACACTGTCTCAGAATCTTCTCTTCACTGAGAAACCTCAGGCCAGATACCCGCTTTCAGGAATCCTAATAATGGCGGGGCTACAGTGGTCATGGTGACCGAGGGGACCAAAGGTCCTCATCAGTCCCTTTGATGTGGGACCTGGTTGGAATCTGGACGAATTATTTAGGACCTCGACATAATCAGCTTAGTTAATTAAAAGAGTGACATTTAGAATGGCAGAGGAGTCCTGGTGGGGGCAAATCCAAGTTATGAATTGGACTAAGTTTTAGCTCCCCTTTTCCTGTTATTTGACCTTAGATCAGATTTCCCACTGCCGTCCCATATCAGCAGTCTGAATGAGTCTGTAAACAGGAGATTGCAGGCGATTCAGGACCTTGGAGGAGGGTTTCCAGTACTTTTTTTTGTAAATGTGCTAAGACTCATAAAGGAAACGGATACCCCATTCTGTGAAATAAAGAGAGTATTTGGCAATGAAAATCCATCAATAGTGTTTGCTGAGTTTTCCCCAAATTCAAGATACTACATGAAGTAAGCACTGCAGAGATATAAAGACGAGAGAGGAACAAATGAGTAGACTTGGGTGTCTACCCTTCACTCTCCCCACTCCCCATGTCTGTATCCGTCTAGTTCTTTCCCTGTCCACGGTGCTTCCTCCATATGATGAAAAAATATAAAACACATTTCTAAAATGGACTTCCTTGATCTTCTACAGTGCATATATCTTTTTAGTTACTTCTTCTTTGTTAAATTTATTTTGAGAGAGGGAGGGAGAGAGAGAGAGAGAGAGAGCACAACCACACCGGGGAGGGGCAGAGAAAGAGGGAGAGAGAGAATCCTGAGCAGGCTCTGTGCTGTCAGCACAGAGCCCAAGGCGGGGCTTGAACTCACGAACCATGAGGTCATGATCTGAGCCGAAATCAAGAGTCAGACCCTTAACTGACTGAGCCTCCCAGGCGTCCCATCTTTTTAGTTACTTCTTGAGCAACAGCGAACCATTACTTCTCCAGTTTTCTTCCTATGCCGAAGATGTTGACGTATAGTCAACTCATCGCCTTCTGATGCATTACGGTGTCTCTGGGATCTGCTTCTTAGATGCTCCATTTTAGAGGCACCATCCAGTTCAGGTGCTTATCATCTCATGGCCTGACAGCCTTAGCGAACCCTTGGCCGTGACGTCGATGGAGCAGCCTGTTCCCTCTTCAGTGCACATACCTCCATCACCACGTTGCCACAACAACACCCTCAAAGACTTTTTCCTTATCGTGTCATTCATGCCTTTGACAAAGAAACTGTTCTGCCTTCATTTTGGCTATTCTTTCAAATCTAAATATCTCTGCCCAACCTCAAAGCCATTCACTAACTCTGCCTCCCACATTTCATGAAGAGAAGTGTCCATTCTTTTTCGTTCTAGGAAATCAGTGTGCTGCACTCTTCCATCTACTCCCCCATCTCCCGAGCCCACACATACCGTCCTGCCCACTAACGCACTGTGCCCGTCTTGCATTTTTCTTCCTGCTCTCCTTCCATTTGTCCTCATTTCTTGTTTCAGAACTCTTATTAGACATCCCCCTCAGTCCCTTGTAGCCTTATTTTACTGCTGCTGCTATAAGCCACACTCTTACGTTGCTTTGCAAATATCCCCAATGTGATTTCTATACGTAGGTTCTCGTCCAGATAGTTTACTGCCGAAGACCAAGGGAGCAGAGGATTTTCCATTTCTTTTGTTAACGCTACACTTACGGGACCAGCCCAGAGTACTGAGGTTGATAGAATGTTCAGCATGAAGTGGGCACTCACTACATGTTATTCACCGATTACAAAGAGGTTGCTTGATCCCCTGAAGACAACCAGGGGAGAAAAAGCAGTCAGGAATCCTCCTAACTGAAGCCTATTTTAGGGAGCTCTAATGAGACCCAATTAGAAACCTTCCTCCTGTTTTCGTATGTTTCATGTGAACAGAAAGAGCTAATATGTGAAAAAAATCAGGCTAACTGTGGCTTTTTGGACCATTGCACACTTCTCTTCTGCTCTGAATGCTTGCCTGGTTTGCATTACGATTTCCTTCCTCGCTGGAAAACGACATAGACTTTCTCCCTTTCTTTGGAAGAAGTGGGACCTGTTGGAAATGTGAGGCTCCAGGATTCAAATGCAATGGGCTTGGCTGTAGTGCTCTGTAGTGCATTTCTTGACAAGTCCTGAAAAGACTATTGAATTCTAGCCTGTGCTTTTTTTTCTGCAGTATTTGGATGTGTTTCAGCGGCAGTGTTTGGCTGGGTAGAGTAATCGAAGTAGTTTTTTTCTTCCTCAGCAATCTTATGTTACAATTTCATCCTTCACAGTCAGAATGGAATATTTTACTCTATGTAAATCCTTTTGAGTGCAGTAGAATCATAGCTCTTTCGTAAGCAGTGTGTCTTTTAATATTACATGTAAACAGGTTAAGATGTAAATTGGTAGTACTATCCTGATAGAAAAACTGGCAGGTATTTGGTGACTTTGCTAGGGAACACCAAGTTACAAAGAAGAAATTTTTTAAATTAAATACAGACATTTTGGAGGGACTTTTACTTAATAGGGGGAAAAATGGCTTTCCTCTTTAATTTCATATGATTGAAACACTATATCTAGTAACCTCTGCAATGTCACAAGCATTGTGCATATGTGGTGGGCTGGGGTTTTGATGTTCTGTGTAACAGGCTATTGTTCTCTGGTAATCTTCAAAAGGCTGCTGGCCTTTGAATTTGCTCCATATCTAAAATTCTAGCTTTAATTATCAGATTAGCCTGCATTTTTTTCTTTGTGAGTAAGGAGAGGAGAAGCTGAATTGTGTTTATTATTCTGCAAAATGCTTGAGATGATAGGATCCCAAATGCTTAATTTTGTTCCGGAAATGGGAACTGTCAAATTATAGAGCCCTTCAAGCCAATGGAGGGAAATTAATAAATCAGGGGAACAGGGTCACTGAGTGACACGGCATAAATGGGCGTTCGTGTGGCGCAGGCTGCTAAACAACATTGAAATTGTCCCTTCCAGGGTCCCTGCAAGTCATGAACAAAACAAGAAAGATTATGGAGCATGGGGGGGCCACCTTCACCAACGCTTTTGTGACTACCCCCATGTGCTGCCCCTCCCGGTCCTCCATGCTCACCGGAAAGTATGTGCACAACCACAATGTCTACACCAACAATGAGAACTGCTCTTCGCCATCCTGGCAGGCGATGCATGAACCTCGGACTTTTGCTGTGTATCTTAACAACACTGGCTACAGAACAGGTAAAGGTGGACTTTCTAGCCAATGAACTTCTAGCGGTGTATCTGAGATACAGGTAAATGCATGGTGTAATGAAATAGATGAAGTTCCAATAAGCAGAAGTAGGGTAGACTCTTCTCTTCTGCATCAGTGTCCTCCCCATCCCCTTCTTTTTTACTCTGAAAAGTGTACCAATGAGCGATCCCTTAGAAAAAAGAGTGATTCTCAGTGGGTACGTTTACAAAAGTGTTATATTCATCAGAGCACCCAACGATCAGAATTTTCTAAGAGGATCTGCAACAGAGGAGTATTCACCCCATTTGCCTGCTTGGGATCATGTTACAGCCTGAGGCTTGTCTTAGGTGTTGGTAAATTCCTGCAGATTGTTTCAGTGAGAAATCGTCAAATGTTTGAAACTGCTTAGCATCCACTCCAAGACCTGGGACCGACTAGATAATCAAAAATTATTTTTTGAATCAGTAAATAACTGAATGAATAAGCCAATGAGGTGTACCTTGTTGATTCATCTGTTTATTCATTCATAACTAATAGAAGTTGGAGTTTCTTTAGCTTAGGCTGTGGTTATTTGTAGGTCTCAGATGTTCACCCCCAGTCTTCCAGGAAAGGAAGGCCTCCCAATCGCTACACCTGCTGTCATTGTTTAACCTACATAGGGCAAGAAGAGGTCTCTGGTTAATTGCTCTTTTGAAAATTGGGGACCTCTTTCAAGAGAAGTCACAGGGGCGCCTGGGTGGCTCAGTCAGTTAAGCACTTGACTTCGGCTCAGGTCACGATCTCGCGGTCTGTGAGTTTGAGCCCCGTGTCGGGCTCTGTGCTGACAGCTCAGAGCCTGGAGCCTGCTTCAGATTCTGTGTCTCCCTCTCTCTCTGCCCCTGTCCCACTTGCACTCTGTCTCTCTCTGAAATAAATAAACACTAAAAAATTTTTTTTAAAAAAGAGAAGTCATAAACGTCATTCAATCTTTGTAAGAAAGACTGTGGTAACGTTAGCCCCCAAAGCCTTTATTATCCCAGCATTCCGATGTTCTCTTAGGGGTTTTCTGAACATTTCTTCATGAAAGGCAACAAAGGTGTTTATAGAAGAGCTGCAGTGCACAAATAGTTTTTTTCAGAACCACCAAGACTTAGAAGGATTAAAGATGTCATCATTAAAGTTTGTTGGAAATGGTTTGTGGGTCTACAGCCTCTCTATTCCGAAGATTTAGAAGTAAAGGGTTTCAGATATATGTATTCTCTGAAATATCTTTAAAACATGAAATTAATCTTTCCCTGTGGACTTGGAAAGTATGAGGCCATTTGCTTCTTCGCAGGGCGTTCTGTGCACTCTTAATACTTGTTATTTATGGATAAAAATATTGATTTTGACTCTGATAGCATTGTCATTCACAAGCATCTCAAGATCTCCATTCGGAGGGAAGGCTCCTCCCGTGACTCTCAAGGGTGTTTGCTTATACTTAGGAAAGAAACTAGGTTACTGAGAGTGCCTTATCCTAAGTGTGTTTTCTCACATAAGTGATTTAAATTTATGGCACCTTTCGTCTGAGAGCCCTAAGGCAATTTGCAAACCCATCAAACATCCCTGTAGGGTTTACAGACAGCAAATGTACTTGGCTCTGTGTTATAACTGGGGTGGGGATTTCAAATACTGTGTGACCAGCTCGGAAGCGAAACCAGAAATTCTCCCCTGATGCCTGGTTCCTGATTTTAACCACCGACTCGTGCTTTGTTCATGAGAAGCATCATATGAAATCAATGCCTTTCGACTCCCAGGCTCCCTAGAATTTAATCCCTAGTAGCAGGTATAGAGCTTGAAGGGTTGGGACTCTCACCATATCCAGAGTGAGACGGACAATGCCTGTCATAAGAAATAAAGCTGCAGGATGACACAGAGAACCCTACCAAGACTAAGAGTGGTCAACCAGGGTTTGATAGTCTGTTTCGGGGCAAATCAAGCAAGGGCAAGAAGAAGATGAATGAGTTCTGAAGAAACAGCATACGGCTATGTAACCATAGCCGACAATATTGTATTGTGCACTTGAAATTTGCTGAGAGGGTAGATCTTTGGTGTTGTCACCGCAAAAGGAAAATAGTAGAGGTGTGAGGTGATGGATATGTTGATTGGCTTGGCGGTGGTGAATGTTTCGCAGTCTTTATGTATTTCATGCCATCGGGTTGTACACCTTAAATATATTACAGCTCTTGATTGTCACTTACACATCAATAAAAGTAGGGAGAAAAAAGAAAGGGGGAAAAGAAGGAAATTAATATATGTCGTTTACTTATGTGCACAGACGCTTTATCTAAATTGTCTCACTTAATTCTTCCGGCAACCTGGAAAGAAAGGATTTGCCTGTGTTGCCAGTGAAGAAACAGAGACTCAGGAGAGTTGTCTAAGGTCACAGGCTTACCCGTGGTAGGATGAATCTAGCACACCTGACTCCAAAGTCTTTCCTTTTTCCATCATCTTCTTTCTTTACATGTTTCTGTCATGCCTCATTCCATAGCACCTTCAGAGACACGTAAAACGTAACAGGATACCGAACAGTAAGAACCCTGGAAAATGGAAATGAAGGGCTGTACCAGTTAAAGTCAAGGCAAAGCTTGGTATACAAAGTGCATGCCATGGAGATGTGGAGAAAAGGTGCATATTTGTAACTAAGCTTCCAGATGGCAAAAGGAAAAATTGAAATGCCATCCATTACGAAGTTTACTGGGTCACCAAGATAGAAATAAATTATCTAAGAAGCGCAGTATATTCTGGGCCTTGTTTTAGTTATACTACATTATATCTACCCTACAATGGATTACAAGAGCTTGAATAAAATAGAGATAATTTAGTTCGATCCCCTTATTTTCAGGTGAGCAAATTTACACCAACAAGATCAAAGTGGCACATCTGATATTCTAATAGGAAGAACGGGTGTCAGGACCTTAGTCTTCAGAGTTCTTTCCAGTGTCCTACCCTAAATGTACAGGTTAGGTCTAGAATGACACTGCACCCCATAAGCCTGCCCTGATGACAACTGTCAGGCCTCTTGTGCAGCCCAGCAGCCTGCTTCAGTCACTTGTCTTCTCCAAGAACAGGAGATTTGCTCCTGGAACCTAAGTCTGATTCTGAGGCCAACCTTCCACCCAGGGGCCTGGATACTTAGGTAATAATTGAATTTATAGTGAGTCATCTTAACAGGGGAAAAGGAATTCTTTAAAGGAAGTGAGGACTTTTCCAAATAGTTGATAAACCAAAAAAGGATGATACACACATAATAAATTTTGATGGGCCCATTAGTGAATCAGGCAAAAATACAAATTGGAAGACTAAAATGTCAATGATAGAGATCTATACAATTTAAATTTATCCTTGATGGGAAAATATTGAAGTGTCCCAGACAATTAGGAAGCAGAGATGTCTTTGTGACAAGAGTTTATTGATCTAGCCAGGGACAGGGTCCCATTTGAAAATACACAAATAAGCACATCAGGAAGACAGGCATCTTAGGAAATTAAGAAAATTGGTGAATAGGTATTAAACCAACATAATTATTTACAAGCCACTAAACTAGAAGGGGGGAAAGCCAATATATAAAGATTTTATTGTTTTTCTAATAATGAATACATTATTTGGAACATTTAGCTGAGAAGCTAAGAAAAATAATGCAAGAAACCAAAATATATATCATACATAAATGTTCATCTAAAGAAAAGCACAGTGCAGTAATCAGTTTTATGAAGAACAAGTCAGAGAAGACGAATTACTAAGAGGCTTATTTTGGGATGCCTCCAGAATATGTGGATTTAAATGAATCGAATTGATCCAATATTATATTTACCATTGTCTGACATGATTTTTTCTTTTTCAGAACTGAGGCATATTTTTGGACTGGCTATAGCCTAAATTTTTCTAACTTTACTCATGGAAAATATGACTGTCCAACAGCTTTAGTGTTCAAAAGGGGAAAATACAACAACACGTCTATTGCATTTTATGTTCTGACAAGTGAAGTGGGACTGATATTGGATTATCTATCACAGAAATGAATATCCTGCCCATCTGCTCAAAAAAAATAAAATGTAGTGTAAAGTTCTTGTAAGAGTATAGACATGAATGTAAAACCTGTCATCGGTTTTAAGGTAAAAGTAACAAGCCACGTTGGAGAGATAGCATCACATATCAGGAAAAAAAAAAAAAAAACCTAAATCAAGGCTGAGGGGAGTCGGACCCTTGTCCCATCTCTGCCTTTAATATGTTCGGAGAACTTGCATGAGCTAGTTTCCCAATTTGTATATGCAATGCAGAGATCAAACAGAATGATTCCTAGGTTTTCTTTCCTGCCTGAAATTAAACTGTAATTTTATTATAATCCCTGTACGTTTTATATTGACTCATTTAAAGATTGTAGTGTTCACATTACAATTATAACACATGATACATAAAATCACATGTGAATTAAACTTTAGTCATACTCATTTAACTTCTTATCACTTGGGTGAAAGGTGCAATATTTAATGGAGAGCTGCAGTAAATCTCTTTGTAAAGAAGTCTTTTATAACAAAATAATTTAGACCAATGAATCAATTCTTCTGATTTCATGCCGTTTTATTTATTTTTTTATTTTTTTATTTTTTTAAAGTTTTTTTTTTTTCAACGTTTATTTATTTTTGGGACAGAGAGAGACAGAGCATGAATGGGAGAGGGTCAGAGAGAGAGGGAGACTCAGAATCGGAAACAGGCTCCAGGCTCTGAGCCATCAGCCCAGAGCCTGACGCGGGGCTCGAACTCACGGACCGCGAGATCGTGACCTGGCTGAAGTCGGACGCTTAACCGACTGTGCCACCCAGGCGCCCCTCATGCCGTTTTATTTTACAAAACTTATGTTACTCGTAGCAAAATTATTTATTTATTTATTTGTCCTCCACACACTAATATTCTTATTTTAATGAATTATGGTATTATAGATCTTGATAGTAACATATGGTATAGCATACATGTATTGAACTACATATGC